GCACTAGTATATATTGAAAGAGAATTCTAGTTATGTAAAAACTGCTTAGATTAAAAGTTGTAAATATTCAACCTTAATTATACGCTTGCTAAAGTATACTGATGTCTGCAACTTACTTTCAAATACATAAAAAAAAATTAGGTGGATTGATGTATGGGTAGGAAGGTGGATATGTGTTTAACCAAATATAGTAAAATCTTAATTGTAGAATCTAGGTGGTAGGCATAAAGGTGGGGGGGGGAAGTTCGCTGTATAATTCTTGCAACTTTTCTGTATATTTGAAATTTTCCATAACAAAATGTTTACATCTAAGTGGTTATGAGATGGTACATTTAGGGAGAAGGGTATGGGAGACAATACATACATAATTTATCATCTTTCACATTAAATAAATTATTAAAAGTTTGTATGTTAAGCAAACCATGTGTACATGGCATGTATTTCTCAGCTGTTTCATTGTATATCTCACTGATTTATTTTCATTAAGGAATACTCCTATCTTAAAGGAGTTCTGGTGGCATCTTAAGTTATAATAATAAAAAGAAACATAAGAATTTTAACATACACTTCAAGGAACATCCTGCCTTATCATTGTACACTTTGTAACTGTTTTAATTCTCTCACACAGCCCTTATAGAAAAGTTAGCTAAGTGGCTGGTAAGTCCACATGATCTCTGTCCAAACAGTAAAAGAATGCATTTATTAATGGACATCATACAACTCTCATTCTTTTTTGCATTCTTAACCAATTTCTAGAGAGTTAGGACCATGTCTTGTGTTGGCAGAGTACTGAGTACGTGGGCGGGGGGTGGAGGGGTGGGGACACAACAAGTGCTCACTGATTTGACAGTGCACATTTCTTAGGTGTCATTTTGTTTATTGGGAAATATATCATAATGCAAAAGTATATTATTCAGCTTAAAGCATAATAATAAAATGAATAGCCATGTAACTACACTCAGTATTAAGAATTAGAGGAACTATTTTTGCCCCGTCCCAGTCACAACCCTTTCTCCCACATATAGGTAAATAATTTCTTGATTTTGTGATGAATATTCTCATGCTTTTCATTTAGTTTTACACAGGTTCGCCATGTAAACTAAAATATAGTTTAATATTGACTCTTTTTGAACTTTATATAAGGCAGTCATACTATATATATGAATTGTTGAGTGAAAACGTAACCCTGTGTTTGTGAGATTCATCCATCAGATATGCATAGATTTAGTTCATTTTTGCTGCGAGCTAGTTGTATGATGTCCATTAGTAAATGCATCTTTATACTGTGTGGACAGAGATCACGTGGACTCATCAGCCTTTTGGCTAACTTTTCTATAAGGGCTGTGTGAGAGAATTGAAGAGTTACAAACTCTACAATGATAAGGCAGGATGTTCCTTGAAGTGTATGTTAAAATTCTTATTATAACTTAAGACGAGAGTATTCCTTATGAAAATAAATCTATACCACAGATTACTTATTCTACTCTTGGATTTTTGCTTTGTCTGCAATTTTTTATTATTATGAATAATATTGCTTTGTAAGAGTGTCTCTATATTAGAGTATGTACCTTGAAGTGGAATCAGTAGGTTGTAGGGTCATTGAAGTTATGCATTTTTAATAGTCATTGATGCATGTCACTTCTGTTGTTTTTCTTCATCATTTAAAAGAATTCAATGGAGTTGCATTTAGGGGACAGAATTATTGATAAACTCACTAGTAGTCCTTCCTTCATCCCATCTTAACCAGTACATGCGCGTGCATGTACACACACACGCACATACACACCCTTCAAGGGTTTAGTATAGACTATAAATGCTTGCTTTCTTTTTAAAATAAAAACTAAGTTAAGATTCCTCTTCAGCCTTCATATTTTAAGTATGCATAGTTCCTGATTTATAAATGTCTGATATGTACAGCTACAAAGGCCAGAGATTTTTCTTCCCAACACTAGATACCATGTTCCTCTCTATTAAGCTAGAATTTTACTGTAAGAGGGGAGGAAAGTTGTACAATTGGAAATGTATTTCCAGTGCCCTAAAACTGAATGTTCTCCCAGAACAATGTTAGAAGTAGGAATTAGGATGATAGGTGTTATTATTTAGATTGTTTGTACATTCATGTTTTTGTTTTCTTTCCAACAACATCAGGAGTATGCTCAGGAATTATCTTGTAGGCAATTAAAGGTCAGTTTAGAGTTTAGTAGATTTTTTTTTTATTTTAATACCCACAAGTAGTACTGAGCTCCTTTCCACCTAACTTACCCAAAGTTTATATATTCTAATATTTAAACAACTTCTGGAAGTTCTTATTACAGCTTTATTGAGATACAACTGACATATAATAAATTGCACATATTTGAAGTGTACAGTTTTATAAATTCTGGCATATGTATATACACCCATGAAAACATCACTGTGAAATCAAGATAACATGTTCATCACCCAGTAGTTTTTTGGTGCTTCTTTGTAATCCTTCCCTGCAGGCCTTCTCCACCTCCATCCCTTTACAATCACTGGTTTCCTTTCTGTCAGTGTAGTCAGAAGATTTTTTAGAATTCCATATGAATGGAATTATAACGTAAGTACTCTTTTTTCATCTGGCTCTTTTCACTCGGCGTACTTACTTTTAGATTCTTTTTTACTGTTTATTACTGACTATTCCATTGTACGGCTGTATCACCAGTTGTTTATGCATTTACCAAGTGATGGACGTTTAGGTTGTTTCCGTGTTTCGGCAGTTACAGAAAAACTTCTATGCACATTTATGTACAATCCTTGGTATGGACAGATACTTTCATATCTCTCGGGTAAAAACCTAGCAGTTTTTAAGAAATTGCCAAGCTGTTTTTCAATGTGCTATATGGTTTTGCAGAGCCCTGGTGGCACCGTGGTTAAGCGTTCAGTGCCAACCAAAAGGTCAGCAGTTCGAATCCACCAGCTGCTCCTTAGAAACCCTGTGAGCAGTTCTACTCTGTCCTGTAGGGTTGCTATAAGTCGGAATCGACTCTGCAGCAAGGGGGAGTATACCATTTTACATTCCCACCAGCAGTGGATAAAATTATCAGTTGTTTTGCATCCTTGCCAACACTTGATGTATATAATCAGTCTTTTAAATTTTAGCCTTCGTAGTGGGCGTGTACCCATTGCTGTTGAATCGATTCGACTCATAGTGATCCTATAGGACAGAGTAGAACTGCCCCATAGGGTTTCCAAGGAGCGGCTGGTGGATTCAAACAGCTGACCTTTTGGTTAGCAACCAAGCTCTTAACCACTGCGCCACCAGGGCTACATTGTGTATGTAGTAGTAACTTATAGTTTAAATTAGTATTTCCCTTATGACTAGTGATGTTGAACATCTTTTCGTTTGATTATTTTCTATTTCTTTGTTTTCTTTGATGAAGTACTTGTCCATACCTTTTGCCCATTTTTACTGAGTTGTCTTATTTTTTAATTGTAAGAATTTTTTATATATTTTAGATACAAGTCCCTTGTAGAATATATGTTTTGCAAATGTTTTCTCTTAGTCATTGGCTTGCCTTTTCATTTTCTTTAGAGTATCTTTTGAAGAAACAAATTTTTTAATTTTAATGAGATTCTGGAAGTGTTAATTGAGTCTAGAGAATTAGAACCATCAAAAAATACTGAAATTCTCACTTTGTCCTGAATAGTTATGGAATTATTGCTGATTATTCACTGATTGCCACCACAAATCAAGTACTTAGCATTGCATTCCACTCCTTCTGTGCAACTGTTCTTGAACTGTAGACAGCTTAATACCCTATTTTAACAAACTTGTTTTCTGTCAGGTGCTAGGATTATAATGATGGGTGATACAGAAATGTCTCTCTTCAAAGTGTTCATTTTAGTATTTAATGTTTCTTTCCCGTTTTCTGTTATGTGCAGTCAGGTCCATATATTTTCCTTTACTCATGCCTAGTACAGCTCTCAGGAGCCCTGGTGGCACAGTGGGTAAGCAGTCGGCTGCTAACCGAAAGGTTGGTGGTTCGAACCCACCAGCCAGTCTGGGGGAGAAAGATGTGGCAGTCTGCTTCCGTAAAGATTACAGCCTTGGAAACCCTATGGGGCAGTTCTGCTCTGTCCTGTAGGGTCACTATGAGTCAGAATCAACTTGATGGCAGCAGGTTTTCTGTTTGCTACAGCTCTAGAAGCAATGAAAGAAGCCCTAGTGGCACAGTGGTTAAGCACTCAGCTGCTAACACAAAAGGTTGGCGCTTTCAACCCACCAGGGTCTCTGCAGGAGAAAAGACCTGTCGATCTGTTCCTATAAAGATTACAGCATAAGAAACCCTATAGGGTCACTATGAGTCGGAATCAACTCAACGGCAATGAAGTGTTGAATCTATTTTTGTCTTATATTGAGTTGTATTTTTTTCCCAGCACACAATGTATCGTAGCGCAGTTCCTTGTACACGGGGGACCCTCGCTAAATGTTCAGGGGTTGAAAGGAATTATTGATAACAGTGTTTGAGTAAGGTTCTCCTGACTAATATATTGATAATATAACCTTTGGCTATATTACCTACTTTCAGCATTGTGTATAGTTTTGTCCCCATTGATTTCTTGTAGACAGTTTATATCCTGAGGTTTTATTTGCAAGGTGAGGACAATATATATTGTTAGAATATAGCCCCTTATTAAATAAATAAAAGATATACTGTCTCAGATGCCATCATTGCAATAGATTGTATTTTTCTAAATAGAATAGAGATGCCTGATTTTTACTTGAATATTTTGAGTAGTCTTTTTTTAAGATCCTGATCTAGCATTATTACTATCGTAAAAGCCTGTCTAGAGTAGTATAGCATGGACTCTGTAGCCAGTTACAAATCACAAGGCTTTCAGAATCTGCCTTGTTTAACCAGCTGTGTATTTTAAATAACTTTGGAATTCCTTCTTTAATGTAACCAATGTACTAAAACATAAAGACTACCTTTGTAAAATATGGAAAAATATGGCAATAACTTGCTTTCTTTATCTAGGTCCTGGGAACACCAACAAGGGAGCAAATTAGAGAAATGAATCCAAATTACACAGAATTCAAATTCCCTCAAATTAAGGCACATCCTTGGACAAAGGTGAGTCAAAATAAGTTTTTTTTTTTTAAGTGTATTAACCAATAGTTGACTAAAACTTGGGTTTCTCGTTATTCTTAAACTATTTTGAGTCCAGATAGCTGCCTGAATACAAAGCACATAGCAGTTCTGCGCGCAAAGATAGTCGGGTTAATTTGCTTCAGCATTTCATTGACGGTATAGTTTTGTCCCCATTGATTTTCTGTCGAAATTTTCTAGCCTGGGTTTTTATTTGCAAGGTGAGAACAATCTACTCATATCATTAGAATATAGAATTTGATGCGGGGCAGGATTTTATATATAACTTTTGACTAGAAGTTTATAGAATAAACTAAAGTTTATTTTATTTACAAAGTTAGAAGTGCCTAATGCAGTATCATACAGCATATGATAACATACATTGCATATTTTTTTTTTTTTTTAACTATTAAAATATAGACCTTTTATAGATAGTTTTGTGTTTTCCTTCTCTTACTTTCTTTACCATTAGTGCTTTGGGAACAGGGACAAAAAGCAGAAGTGGTCTTGCCAGGAACAGACATTGGAAATAATTGTTATGTTAACAGGATGTCACTAGCTTTTGGAAAAGTTTAACCTTAATGTCAGATGGCACCAAGTCTAAGAGCATAAGCACTAATTTACCAGGAGACTTTTTATTTATTTATTTATTTTGCTTTGATACTTAATCGAAATGATTTTAAGAGAGATTTTATCTAAAAAAATTCTCACATCAGTTTGCTTTGTTAGATTAAGTATGCAGAGGGGAAAAAAATAGAATATCTCAGTAGGGTTTATAGTAAGAGTGAATCTCTAACCTCCTCATTTTACAGGTTTAGAAACTTTGGCCACAGATACTGCATGAGTTATCTAAGATTGCATAGGTGGCTTGTGGCAAAGTCAGGATTAAACTTCTAGTCATATATATTTTTTTTAACGTCAGTTTTTTTCAACTTCCAGTCATGTGCCATGCTCCCTTCCCCCCACCCACCATTTTACAATTCAATTTACATCTCATTGGATATATTTTGGGGATTAAAAATGGTCAACTTTTAATATGTATTTCATTTAGAGACTTTCTTTATTAAAAAAAATATATATATATATATATAACAGTTTGTTTTGACCATAGATAAATTTATTTAATTAGTTTTAGATCTTTTATAATAAAAGGTGAAATAATTTAGGACTTTAGGTGAAATAGATTTCCTGGGTGGTGCAAATGGTTAACACACTCGGCTGGTAACTGAAGGACTGGAGGTTCGAATCCCCCCCAGGGTGCCTCAGAAGAAAGATCTGGCGATCTACTTCTGAAAAATCAGCCATTGAAAACCCTGTGGAGCACAGTCCTACTCTGATATACATGGGGTCGCCATGAGTCAGAATTGACGGACAGCAGCTGGGTTTTTTAATAGGTAAAATTATTTATGTTCCTTAGAATCAAAGTCTGTGTCTTTTTCTCTCTAAATTGTATTATGATTCCAGTTTTCTTTTAAATTCTCGCAGTTTCATTACCTCTCTTCACTTTCAGAAGATCCTCTTGTTATTAATTTTCTTGTTATTGTTACTAATCTTTTATTTAGAATAAAAGATTGCAGTATTATTTTAGTGCCAGAATTATAGGTGGTAACTTTCACGGGCCAAGAGACCAAGATGCTGCCCCCCTTTTTAATTTAAAATAAAGCACTAAATAGTCGAAGATAAAGTGTTCTTTGATTTTTGTACTTAAGGTTTCATTTGAATCTGGATCAGAAGATACTTAGGAGCTCTCATCTGGCTGTACAACGAGAGAAGCCTAGGTGGCCTATTTGGATTTAGGGGCTCAGTTATAGTTTGAGTCCATTAAACGCAAAGTCCATTAGAGTCGGTTATAGTTTAAGTGCATTAAAGTTATCTTAAGTGAAAGAGTTTGTAATAAGTGATTTACAGTGTAGGATGGTTTCGACTATGTTACGAAAGAAACAGTTCTGTATTTAGAATAACTAGTTGCCGTTAAATCAAATCTGACTCATTGCATCCCCATGTGTATCAGAGTAGAACTGTACTCCATAAGGTTTTCAGTGGCTGATTTTTTTGGAAGTAGATTGCTAGGTCTTTCTTTTGTGGTACCTCTGGCTGAGTTTGAACCTCCAACCTTTTGATTAGTAGCTGAGCGTGTTAATCTATTACACTACCCAGGGTCTCATATATAGAGTAAATAAAAAGAAATATTCCCAAATGCTGGTAGTAGTTTGGGTGAGAAAAGTATGACTGATTTTCTTTGTTCTGCTTTTCCATATTTCTGTATTTTCTTCAATAAACATGTTATTTTTTTTTAAGAAAGAAAGCTTTTTTTCTTTTTGGTATAATCTTAAGTATTCATTACACGTTATCCTTAATATAGAGTTTATGACAAATGTAATGTTGAAATTGAGGTCATGAAATCTTATTTAACAGTTCCTATCCTCATTTTTTTTTTTAAATAAATGCCAACAATATTAGTATTTGTTATATTCTACATTTTTTTCCTGAATTATATCTAACGCAAGTATTAGCCAGAGTGAAATGTGACGAATGGTTGCTTGTAGTCAACATGTAGCCAACGGAAGACGTGTGCTGAATTTGTATGCCTTACTCTTTCCTTTGCCCTTTTGGATTTCTGTCTCCATATCTTACACTAATGCTTTTGAAACTTGAGTGATTTGTATAAAGCCCTTTTATTTGTTTTATTTAGGTTTCCATTCCTAGACTGTGTGTAGAATAATAATTCTCTCACCATTTTGTTTGTGAAAACTGTGTAACTTTCATATAGCGTGCATTGACTTATTTGGTTTTCACTTGGTATAAAGGTAACAAGTTCACTTGTGTTAATTTCTCATTAGTGCACACAACTAGGTAGTGTCTGGTTGTAAACACAAAAGCAAGTTCAGCCACAGAAATTCCATGGCACTTCTCTATCTAGATGATCCAGAAATTTTTTAATAGGTTATTATCAAACTAAAAATGTAAAATTTTAAATTCTTAAAGGGCATTTAGTCCCATCTCCCCCTGTTATGATAATGGACACCAATTTGAGAAATGCTGTCTATACTAGGCAGTCAAAAGAGTCATTACAAAAAAACATACATGTTGTTGTTGGATGCCATCGAGCTGATTTTGACTCCTAGAGACCCTATGTGACAGAATAGAACTGCCCCATGTTCTCTAAAAGGGAATTGCTTCTTATCCTTGGAAGATGGGTAAACAGGAAAATGGAAACAGAAGCTGCTTTGCCTTTATTGTTGTCTTCTGTTAGAGCCCGCCTTGATCCATTCACTGAAGCTCTGGGCATGTGAACCCTGGTTTCCTATACTTCAGTGTAGTGCCCCAATATCCCTAGAACTGGGTATTGGAGTTCTCAAGAAAATGAGCAGAAATAAAGATTAAGGGAGGAAATGTCTTCCATGGGAACACTGAGGGGCGGGAATGCAGGTCAGTAGGACAGATAATGGAAGAACAAAAAGAATAAGTAGATCCCAGTGTAGTATAGATCAAATGGCAGGAATGTTGATAAAGCACATGTGGTTTAATCAGGAAATAAAGTAGAACCCGTTGCCATCTAGTTGATTCCAACTCAAAGCAACCCTACAGGACAAGAGTAGAACCTGCCCCATAGAGTTTCCAAGGAGCGGCTGGTGGATTCAAACTGCCGGCCTTTGGGTTAGCAGCCAAGCTCTTAACCACTGCGCCACCAGGGCTCCGAGGGGTAGGGGAGATGGGGAATAAAGACCTCTGCATTGGTGTACGGTATATACACAGAATAAAAACTAGATAAAAAGTGAAAGCAGTGATGTAAAAGTAGATTGAAAATTAGAGATGGAAGTTGGTTGGAAGAAGAGAGGAAGCTTAAACTATTTAATACATGGAGATGTGGTTAAATGAAGTAAGGATCTCGTTTAAGCCCTGCTCCTACTATTCTTTGTGCCTCGGTTTTTTTTTCTTTTGTAAGATAGCTGTTCTCTCCTGTGTCTTGCTTGGGGTTCTTTTGAAAATATAGTTAAATTATGCATGTAAAAGATTATTTTATTTTAGCTCTGAATAAATGTGAGGATTCTACTGCCAGTGTAGTTCTCTGATCTGTCGTTTTCTCTCCGTCTTCGCTGACCTGACCTAGTTTAGGCCATTGTTATGTCATACAATCGTTAAAACAACCTCCTACCTCCTAACTGAATTCTCTCCTTCAGTTTCACACCCTTTCAATCCATCCTTCCATTGCTGTCAATTAGCTTGCTTAAAAGCACATGTGATACCGTTACTCCTAGCAAAAATTTTCTTTGACTCCTCATTGCCTTTAGGAAAATTTGGCATAAGATACGTACGTACATACAAGGGTGATCATATGGCCCAATTTATCCTTGTACCAGTGTAATTATTAATCACATGCCCCTTCACTCTCAGATGTGTCCTGTTTTGAATGACAAGTTATACAGTCACTCTATTCCTGATGCTTTCTACCTTTTCCTGAAAAACAGGAGATTTAGTTCTTGTCCTGCTCCTAACCTTCCCTAAGGCATCCGTCTGTTGGCTTGACCCCAGATTCTTTCCCAAGTTCTCCAGCTTCCTCCATCCTTAAATGTATATAGTTAGGCAGTGGATTTAAAATTTTAGGGTAGATTAGGGATTTCTAATAAGATTATATTATAATAGATACATGAGTTTTTTTTTCCAAATTTTGAGTAACTGATTCTTCTAAGCTTGTTTAAAAGTTCTATAAAATAAGTAATCCTCTTTATCCTGATAATAAATAATTCTGTGAGGTAAGTTAGGTAGCACAGATTTCCGCATATTCTTTCAGAGTAATGAAAATCATTAGCGATATGACTGGATAATGGCAGGAAGTAGAGTAGATAATCTCAAAGGCTCTGATCTCTTACTACTGGATTTGAGTGTTTAATATGTTAGCTACATATGGGAATGTTGCCCAGCTAGTAGCTCACTTTGAAGGGACTGTGCAGTCATGCTGAATTTTCTGGTGTAATCAAACTGTT